CTAGTACATGTTGATTCCTTTCAACTCTAAATTTACAATCATCTCCTCTTTTGAAACCTCTAATCATGAATAGTTGAGAAATATAAATTTTGAAATGAGATAAAGAAAAAAACTAATGTCAATCCATTATATGATGTCACTTCCCATCTCACATGTTTTATCGCATTTGGTTATCATTATCTTCTAATTAAAAGGAGTTGTTCCTAACCATGAAAGCAAAGTCTTGTGCACGACATAAATAAGTTCCATTATTCATCATTTCAAGCTTAATATCTATGAAATTAAGCTCATAATCTTAAAGCAAAAAATCTCTAGATGTTTTGCCTACACCAAATTCAATTTTACTAATATGTCATTTCATGTCATCATTAACATAAAAGAAAAAAAATTAATGTAAAACCTCTATAATGGATTTGATTTCAAGATAAATTGAATAATAAAGTAAAAACACGAGTTTGAATATTCTTTGTCCCAGGAAAAAAAAGCAATTCAAAACCAACTAAAATGGAGTTATGTTAGTATGCTATAAATTTTAAGGTCAGGAATTGTGAATTAAGTTGAACTCTAATAAGTTTCAAATCAATCTAAGTTTTTTTTATCCATTTGGCATATAAGCAATGTACATATTTTGAAGAAAAAACATATAATTATATAGTTTCAACTCATCAAGATATCAACTTCCTATATTAAATGAAAAAAATCAAATAAAGATTATTTTTTTATTCTGAAAATCATATGCTTTTCCATTTTGAAATGTAAGAAACTGTAATATCTCTTTTCTTCGTCCATCATTGTTTTGTTCAGTCATGTCTTTATAGTCAACCATATCAATGATAACTTCTAAAGTTTGCCAAATTAATACTCCTAACCAAAGGATAGTTTTCCCATTAAATAACTTGATAAATTCATAAGTTGGAATCAATAGCCATTATAAGTCTCATGAAATGGATAACATTGGGGATTAAAGAAACATACCTTTGAAAGACAAATGCCCTTCATAGATAATGGCCAAAATCTATGTTTACTTTATTGTCTTCTTTCCTAATTTGTGTCGTAGAACATTCTAAATGTCCAAATAAGGCTTCACTTATTAAACAATTTCAACCACATACAACAATCATGCTTTGAGCATTATGGTCTATGATAACAGAATCAAAAT